CCCCCACGGCTGAAAGGGTTAGCATGTTTGGTGTGATGGAGATTCGAACCCGCAGATTGCGAGTCGAGAGCCCTAACCACCTGTCCATGCCAGGCCTCATTGCAAAGTAAAGTTGTAATGAAGACAAACTTAGCTGATATGCAGAAACGTCTGAAAGCGTGTTCACAAAGTGATGAGCATATAATTCTGAACGAACTGCGCATGCGTATTTTAGATTTAAATAAGTCAAGAAAGCTACACACACAGGGCTATCTGTGCTCTGTCCACTGCGGGTATCGAAACCCGGTTTCTAGCGTTGTAACTTGGTAGACATACCGCTGTGCCACTGGGGGCCCCATAGAAATTGTATTTAGTGTAATGTTAATTTTGTTAGGAAGTTACACCCAGGTTAAGTGTTGTTTGTGTTAAATTCTTTGCAATTAAAAAACTAAATTTGAAATCGAAGTCCAGTCGTCACGTGATGACAACGACATTGTACCATCATGTATCATGTTGCATTAAAAAGTTTGGCTGAGCAAAAATCAGGTAAGGTGATTCTGAATGCAAAAGCCAGTATGCAATCCAGACTCCTCGCACAAAAACCTTTCTAACGATACGAGATTTGTAGCTTTTGATCGAGAAACGTTCCGGATAAACGCAAGTGTATTATTTATACAGATGTTTCAAATACCAACTATTTTGGCTTGCTGCCTTTCCTATCTCCCCATAAACACAAGTCACTAATCATAAGACCTTTCCTTTAATACTAGAATTCGCCAGCTGAGCTGGACTATGAAAGGTAAATGTTTATCTGGAAGGTTATTTGATTGTGTACAATACATACCATATTGAACATTTTCCATACAGTAAAGCTCTTCTATAGGTGCCATGACTTTGTAAACAATCCTCATCAAGACTTACCTCCGAAAATAATTTTTATTAGACTCAGGACAAAAAATATTTGTGGGTCCCATAAAAAAACAAATTGTGTTAAGTGGACTTAAATATTGTTTGACTGTTTTATAAACACACTAGTATCAAATGGTGCTATTCAAGTACTTTAGGAACATTTAATAGTGATTAACTGTTAAGTACAGTACCTTAGTAGCACCAGATTTATTAGTATTCATATCGCAAAACAAATATTTGTAATGCAGAGAACTGAGAAAAAAACTAAACTTGTGAAACACGTGTGTCAATCAGCGAATTCCAACTGACTACTGAACCAAACGATTATCTCCTCCAGTATAATAGTTACCAACTGATTTTCTTCGAGTGTAATTTTTAATTATGTATATTTTAAATAAATTACAATTTAACCAAAGTTTGACGCTTAAAAAAATTACAAATTTTCACATGTTCATTCCAGGCCTCCTAGGAGGTCCGGAACATTTACCCCAGCTGTCCCCCTTCTTTTGGTCACTGCTCCCATAAAATATATTTCCATTATAAATGTTATAGTATAGACATTGCTCGTTTTCCAGCAGTTCGATATGACATAAATGTACTGGAGACAAGAAAGACATAAGCATCCATTAGATTTAACATATCTTTTTGCCCACGGATAGAAACTAACAAAATTTCAATATCTATTAAAGTAATATACAGTGAT